CCTAAACCCTATATAACCCCCTGTAAGGAGTTTAGACTATGGCTCACATCAAACCTGCCAATGACATCGACCTACCTCGCTCCAACCATGGCACCGAAGGTTTTTTAGGGGGACTCAGGTGTTTTTAGGGGTTTAGGATTTTTTAGGGGTTTAAGGGTTTTAGGGGTTTAGGGGTTTAGGGTTTATCCCAAACCCTAAGCCCTCTGTTCCTTATTGGGCTCCCTGCGTATCTACTTTCTAGGTGAGCACCGGCCCTGAAGGAAAAGTGCTGATGAGACAAGTCTCCTACCGTCATGCGTACATAAACTCGGCTGCTCATGTGAGGATTATGCACTGAATAGTGGCTTACGCGAGCCATAGTCTAAAACCCCCGTTAACAACCCCTGTATATAATAGTCCTCTACATAATCCCGTATTTATTTCCCCCCTGGAAGGAGTTTAGACTATAGCTCATGTGAGGCTATTCGATTTGTCGTTTCGGGTTTTGCGCTCAGGGATGCGCAATGGCCGCCAACTGTGCTTGGGCCTGTGCTTGGGCAGCATTCAATACCAACCCTCAACCATAATTAGACCCCAAACCCTACACCCGGGTTTAGGGTTAACCGCAAAAGGGCCAAGCAGGGCGGGCTACGGATAATCAGAAAAGGGCTGTGGTGCGTATTAAACTGTAGACATACAGGGGGTGTAAGGAGATGATAGCATTGGGAATTAATGCATTAGGCACGTAGATCAAACTTAGGTACCCATGGGATACAGAGGAACGTTGTCACGCACAACGGGCACCCTAAACTTAAAAAAAAGCTAAACCAACCCTAAATCCTAAACCCTCAAGCCCATATAAACTTACCATTACTTAGGGTCCTCAAATTTCCTTACTTTTTAATTTCCAAAAAAAGACTGACCCCCCTCCCCACCCCAAACCCGAAGTAATGGTAATAAACCAACCCTAAACCCTAAACTGGTGCCTACCCTAAACCCTAGACCCTACCCTATCCTTATAATCAACCGTGCAGGAACGGCTACCATCCCACAGTCAGAAGAGTTGCTATAAACCAAGCGGTAGATGTATAGTCACCCTTAAGTAGATAGAATATGGCGTTGGGTATAGGTTTAGGATTTAGGGTTTAGGGTATTTAGGATTTAGGGTTCAGGAATATAGTCCACCTTTAAGTAGGTAGAATATTAGGGGTTATATTGGGGGTTATATAGGGATAATGGAAAAGAAATGGAGACTACTATTTACGGTTTAGGCTTTAGGGTCACCCTTAAGTAGAAAGAATGTCGTTTTGGGTATATCATAATAAGATCCCATATACCCCATATTCTATCTACTCAAGGGGCTATATACTGTAGCGTTTAGGGTTGAGGGTATAGGGCATAGGTAGGTTAGGTTTTTAGGATTTAGGGATTGCATGTTTTAAGTAAGTCTGTGATACTTATCAGGTATATACTTGAACTCTCAGGGTAACCAAATGGATCACATGTGCTGACTCCATTTGAAAAGACTACTCAGCTGAAGTGAAAAGCCAACCCTGAACCCTCAACCCTAAACCCTAGACCCTAACCCTCATAACCCTAATAACCCTAATAAACCTTAAACCCTAGACCCTAAACCCTAATAACCCTAATAACCCTAATAACCCTAATAACCCTAATAAACCCTAAACCCTAGACCCTAAACCCTAAACTGGCGCCTAAATTCCTAAACCCTAAACCCTAAAACGACCTAGATCCTAAACCCTAAACGACCTAAATCCTCAACCCTAAACCCTAAACGACCTAAATCCTAAACCCTAAACCCTAAACTGGCGCCTAAATCCTTAAAATCAACTGTCCAGGAACAGCCACCATCCCATAGTCAGAAAAAGTGCCATAAACCAAGCGGTAGATGTGGGGGTTTCCCGAAATTAGCGGGTACCTTTTTAGGGATCCTTATAAGAAGGACTATAGTATATTGGGGTCCATATTGGGGTTCCCCTATTTTGGGAAGGTACCATGTATAGTCACCCTTAAGTAGATAGAATGTTAGGGTTATGTTGGGGGTTATATAGGGATAATGGAAAAGAAAATGGAGACTGCTATTTGGGGTTTAGCATGTGGGTTTGGGGTCCCCCTTAAGTAGATAGAATTCTGGTAGATGTATAGTCACCCTTAAGTAGAAAGAATGTGGCTTTGGGTATATCATACTAAGATCCCATATACCCCATATTCTATCTACTTTCGGGGGTAGGGAGGTTAGGCTTTTAGGATTTAGGGATTGCATGTTTTAAGTAAGTCTGTGATACTTATCAGGTATATACTTGAACTCTCAGGGTAACCCAAATGGATCACATGTGCTGACTCGATTTGAAAAGACTACTCAGCTGAAGTGAACAGGCAACCCTAAACCCTAGACCCTAAACTCGGGTAACACTAAACCCTAATAACCCTAATTACCCTAATAACCCTAATAAACCCTAGACCCTAAACCCTAACCCCTAAACTCTAATGACCCTAATAACCCTAATAACCCCAATAAGCCTAATAACCCTAATAAACCCTGAAGCCTAGAAGTGAAGTGCCAACCCTGGACCCTAAACCCTACAATGCTCGGTCCTGCTGGATGGGGCAGCCGCGGAAGTCAACTGACCCGTCCACGCAAAAGATTGGTGTCTGATAGATCCTGGCATAGGCATAGTACTCGGTTTAGGGTTTGGGGGGTTTAGGGTTTTGGGCTTAGGGTTTAGGGCCCGGGGTTCAGGGTTTAGGGCTTGGGTTTAGGGCTTTAGGGTTTAGGGTCTAGAGCTTGGGGCTTAGGGTTAACGTTTAAGGTGCCTTGGAGATCCTGACATAACTGCAGCACATTGCAGCAGCCGCCTAATCTGAGTTGCGGTCAGTATATCCCACAGAACTTGTGGACATGCGTTCCTGCTAAGGAAACACAATAGGGACTATACAAACCCAGGAAGCCCAATTTCCCTTAATTATGGAAGGGACCTTAGTACCATGTAGGCTATATCCCCTAATTAAGTGGTATTGGGCTCTCTGGGTACTAAGGAAAATAGGGACTGTACTAAGCTACCAAAGAGATCCCTATATCCACTCTTAAAGGCCTCTTGGTAACCCTAATCTCGACTGTAGGTGCTCTTTGCTTAGCAGCCTGGTGATGCCCAGCGTGATTTCAAGTACCAGGTGTAAGAGCATGCACTTCAACCGGCATGCCTCTTGGCGCCCAAATGTGCACCAAATCCTAAACCCTATACACCTGAAACCGTAAACCAAAAACAACCGAATCCCAACCATATACACCCTAAACCCTTTCAAGCCTATACACCCTAAACCTCAAAACCTAGACCATAAACCCTGTAACCTATACTCCCTAAACCCGATATATTAGGTTGACCCCCTACCCTGCAATAGTGACTATGGGATAATAAGGATTATAGGGTCCTATTATATTCCTATTATACCACTATCACAGGGTGGAGGGTCCACCTAACCTATACACTTCAACTCTGACATGCCCAGCTAGACAGCAGAACTTCCAAACAGCGCCACAAATCTGACGCAACCTGGTACCCCAACTCCTCTCAGGGTTTAGAGTTAGGGTAGATTTAAAGCTTAGAGTTCAGGGTTTTGGAGCACGTTTAGGGTTGAGGGTTTTGGGTGTGGGGCACACCACCCTCCTCCAAACTGGTCAATTTGAAGAGTATATGTGGATTATATAAGGATTATGTAGTTACTAACCCTAAACCCTAAACCCCTAAACCCTAAACCCTAAACCCCTAAAGTAGGTTCTGTAGGCATAAACTCACACCACATCCTTTTGTTCCTCTTCTGGCCCTGCACCGGCTGCGCGTTGCAACAGCAACAAAACGCGTTCCACCCGTTCAGCGCGTGTCTCGGCCTGTGCAGAAGGAACGGTTTAGGGTTTAGGGTTTAGGGTTTAGGAGTTTAGGGTCTAGGGGTTTAGAGTATAGAGTATAGGGTTTAGGTCTAGGTGAGGGCTTACCCCTAGGCAAGCAAGATTCAGAGAGGTTTGCGTTCTGCCACTAGCATCTACCTGTTGGGCTCTACCTGGTGAGGGCGCAGAGGCTAGGGTTTAGGGTTAGAACCCTGGAGATAGGGCCCTTGATTTTCTGGAGCTAGGTAATAGGGTATATCCGCATTCAACAACCTGCCAGCAGAAACCTATCTGCTGATATGTTCCTATGCCCCCCCAAAAACTTCTACGAACAGGAGCCCTTCGCAGTTGTGTGTGGAAGGTTGCCTGAATTTCTGTCCCCAGAACGAGGGAAACTCATACTGAGACGTGAGATGTGTGTTGTGATAGGAACCCGCGCATAGAAAAGGGCATACCAACTGCGCACTTATGCTGTGTGTCGCAGAGCATACTTTATGCTTAGATCGCCCATTTCTCTCCATGACGGCCTAAAAACCTATAAGCCCTAAACATTAGGGTGTATAGGGTTCCTAAATCCAACACTACCAGAAAATCTCTCGGACCCCAAGCCCCAAGTGAGCTCTCAATAACGGCCTGGGGAAACCCTAAACGAAAAAAAACCAAAGCCTAATCTTTCCAAACCACGATCCTACCCAAGAAAACCACAACCCCCAAGTGAGCAATGTTTTTTTGATGGTTGAACCTAGTAAGACAATATTCCTTATATACAATTTATACCCCAAAAGGAGGATATAATCTTACTCTATAATGTGTACCATAGTATCCCCAAATAAGATACTACTCAAGTGAGCTCTCAATAACAGCCTGAGAAACCCATGCTTCGAGCCGATTCCCGGCAACAGTCAAAGGGTCCTCCTGGAAGTCCCACAGACTAAAAGGACCAAAGAATCCTTCAGGAGCCCGAATGAGCCTTAATGTCCTAGGGTTTAGGGCTTCTAAACCCTAAATCCTAAACCCTAAATCGTAAGGGTGGAGGGCTTCTAAGCCCTGAATCCCAAACCCAATTTATTCCTCACTTCATCTGGAGGGTGTCTTATTTGATGGGGCCCCCTTGAGATCCTATGAAACTGCTTCTGCACTCATGGGCAATTTTAGGGTTTTCATGCTTACGGATTGCGCCAGAGGGGACCAGTGCAGCTCTTGCGGTTCATTCTTCCCCAGAACTAGCAACTATAGGGGCTTCCAGAAATTGAGGCAAGCTACTATAATCACAACCCGTACCAAAGGAGCTCCGCAAACAAGACCACTCCAACTTGTGAAAGCCTACACCGATTTAGGGTTTAGGGTCTATCTGTCCACCACTAAAGCTGCCGAACCTGCACCCGCAGCCGATGCGCTCGAAGCACCTTCGGCAACCAAAGCAGGCTTTGGACGGACCCAGGGTGCGCTGCCTTACTGGTTTAAGGTCTAGAGTTCTATTAGCGTTTAGGGTTTAATTCGGGTTTAGGGCTTCACCCCGAAAAACACAGCAGCTTTAAAAGCGCAATTGAAGAAGAGCCATTAAGCTTTATAGGACTTCTAGGTTGGGGAAGAAAGCGCCTGCTACAACGAACATGAAAGGCCGACTCGTGAACCCCAAGGGTCCAAGCCCAAGTGTACTTGGGCCCTCAGATGCTTCTCCATTGGGAATTTCAAGGCCAAAATGAAAAACAACTCTTACGTAGGTACGCTAGTGGACACTCTGGGGAATGGTGCAGGGCATCACCATTGTTCGTTACAGCTTCAGTAGACAGATTCAGGACCTGGGCCCTTGGTTTCGCAATATTCTGTCCCTGTTGCAATCCTGGAGCCGAAGCCCTAAGCCCTGAACCCTGAGCCCTAAGCCCTAAGCCCTAAACCATAATCCCCAAGCTTGCAAAAGGTGCCAACCTAGAACCCTAGGCTCGAAACTTTATTCTCAAACCATGCACCTGAACTTTAAGATTTCAACTCTATACCGTGAGGGTTTAAGGCTTAGGGTTTAGGGAAGTGTTGTTGTTGAATAGTTTAATTCAGGGTACCATAATCCGAATGCACTTGTTTACAATGTTCCACGTAATGGTAACTTAGCTCAAGTTCCTCAATGGCAACCCAAAAAAAGCCTCCGGCTTGATTTGGGCGTTTAATCAGGGTTTAAGATTTGTGGGAAGATTTGGAGAACCTCGAACAAAACGAACCATAGAAATTGGCAAAAGAGCTTGAGGGTTTAGGGTTCAAAGGGCTGAACCCTAAACCCTATATTCTCTATCCTAAACCCGAAACCGTAAACCCTAGACCCTAAACCCCAAAGCCTAGACCCTAAACCCTAGACCCTGAACCTGAAATCCTAGGCCCTAAACCCCAAACCCTAGACCCAAAACTCTAAAACGCGCGTACGTACGGCCCGCCTAGTCATTACTTCAATGCTGGCCTCTCGGCGCCAACATCTTGGAGCAATGTAGACCCAGTTTGCTTACTGGGAGGGGGGTTAGTAGGGAGTGTATATATATATATGTGGCTGAGACCTTTAGGGTCTATTTGGCCACTTTCCCTTAGCAATATTACTATTATCATTAGTATTACTATTATTGCTATTACTATTACTATTATAATTATTACTTTTATCATAATTATAA